CTGAGTTTATCTCATAGTTTTTCCTTGTCCACCATTTCAGGAAGTGAAACCGAGGACGGGGAAACCACGGGAAGTGACGAGTTAGAAAGCTAGCCATTTCGGGATTGATATAGATTCTAGAAGTAAATCATGATCTTGTAAACCAAAGTGTATTTGGAGATTTATGTTATCGGAGTAAATTTTAAAGATTTGATCTTCAGATTTTGATGGTATCAGAGTGTGAATTTGATAAGTTCCGAGCCTTGTGCATTTGTGGGACCCGTCTCACGAGTGCACGGCGTCTGTCGCGTCTCAAAATTGGGTTTTGGGGCGTGACAGATTTTGTGGTATCAGAGCTTAGGTTGAAATTAAGAGCTTAGGTTTAAATTAAGAGTTTAAGATTAAATTAAGCACCTTCAGATTGAGTGGCATTAGAGCAGATTGAGTGATATCGAGCCTAGGTTTAATTGAATACCTAGGATTTGTTTTGGACTTGGCTAGCCAGTGGATTTTAGAACCGTGGTGAGACGAGTGATGGGGTTATGTAAGGGACGATTCTGATTTATGTTCCCTGAATTTTCTAATCCATTTGATGAGATGGTGATCTGATTGTTCTTGTTTCTTGCCTTCATACTCTGTGTGAAGTTGTGAGAGTGATCTTGCCCGTTATGTCCTTAAGACCTTGTTTTGAAACTTGGTCTTTCTGATAGTTTGCACTTGTTTAGACTTGTTACGTGAATAGAATTTTTGTGTGCTCTTTTGCCACAATTTTGAAATCTGGGGAGTTGCAGAGACTTTTGTTATTGATCCTGTTAGTCTCTACAGCATAGCTGGTGGAGAATTTGTTTTGTTTGTCGCATGACCAGTGGAGGATGGGTAAACCCTCTACCTTGTAAGAGATTCAAGGCTATTTTAGCCAATGTTGTGTGTTTTTCTAGATGCGTTTTAGGAGCTGGATTACTTGGTAATTCCGTTGCTCCTTATCTTTCTGAAAGTCTTGTAGTGAAGTTTCACTTTTTTCATTTGGAGCTTCATGGTCTTTTCATGTGGCTCATTTGTCTATATTGGTTAAGCAAGAGCAGTGATCATTCAATTGAAATTGTTGTCTTTTGTGAAGATTGGCAAGCTGTCATAAAGTTAAACTCTCTAGTGTTGCCAATCTCTACGTTCTTGATACCTGAAATTGCTTGAAACTCTTGAATCATCTTGAATCTTTCTTGATATTGCTTTGTACTTGTTCTTGAAATTGAAATCCAGAAATGGATAATGACTATTGAAATCCTCATTATCTTGATACTTGTCTGAAACTATTTCTTGAAACTGTTTCTGGCATTGTACTTGGAATTGGTTAGTAAACCTTGCTTGAAATTAATTCTTGTTGGAATTCTACTCTTGAAAATCGACTGATATTGTTCTTGGAATCTATTCTTGAAAATCAATTGATATTTGGTTTTTGGAATCTAGTTTGAGTTGTCCTTGAAAACGTTCTTGTTCTGACTCTTGCTTTTGTTCAAATTCTGTATACTGCTCTTGCTCAAATCCTGCATATTCTGCTAGTTCGTGTACCTGTCAATCTTCTTGATCTTTGATTTTGTTCATATGGACACCTCTTAGGAGGGGTGATGATTCTTAGAAAATACCTATATGAGGCATTCTCGTTCCTGTCTCTTGCAAGTGTTAAATTCTGTATTCTTGATGCCTTAACTTTGACTTGACTCTAGGATGACTTGTTTGTAAATTTGCTTAGCCTCCATGAGCTACGAGGTGAAGGGGTAGTCTTTGAAATACTTGATGCCCTAGAGTTTTGTTCCAAGTGAAATGGTTCTTTG